GTCTTGCAGAGCTTGATGATAGTAAAGGATCTGACAACAAACTTGACAGCACTGCAGAAACACTTGAGCCTAGTAAGTGAATGTCATTACAGGCCTCCCTCCCTCCCTCCAATTAAATACCACTTTTAGCACCAGGGTTTCCATGGTCTTTAGCAGCTTTCGTCTCTCATTGGAATAATAAAGATAAAAGAAATTTGTTAATTTGGGACCACAGAATAGTGATCTTTAATTGGAGGTGGTCATTAATTGGAGGGTTCTTTCATTGGAGGGAGACCTCTATTTGCTAGGCATCTTATATTGTTCAACTGTGGAGAATTGCAACTCCCATGACATTAAAATGATGCAGGGCAAATTTACAAATTTCTTTTCTCATGTGATATGCAGCAATACATTTCTTTAAAGCTTAAAACTGCTGTTGATTAGGTAAATTTCATGATGGAATGGGGTCCGCCAGTTTCTTGATTTCTAACACAGGACTTATAAGTTGATTTTGAGACTTTAATGAAAGCAGGGTATACCATGTGAAGGTTGTCTGCCATTATAAGCTTATCAATGAGACTGTAGCTTCATGCTGTCTGCAAAAGCACAATAACATTTCTTAGTAAGAAAAGCATATTCAAATTCCTTTTTTCTTATCCTTTACAGCCTCCCCAGATGCCATTTCAGAGACATCAGCAAGATGTGTATAAGAGACAGGAAATATATCAAGGAGGCTGTTAGTAAGCTGCTTAGTACACACAATGAACATTTAGTGGATCCATGTAGAGAAATCCAGAATGCTGACATAATAGATGATGTCAACAATGGTTTAGAAAGTAGAAAACCAGATGGTGAATCTAAAGTTGACACAAGAAATATTTCACTAGAAGAGAAACTAACATGTACTAATAATATTGAAACTACACAAGATGCATGTAGTTCTCAGGCAGCAGGCAATTCTCAAGACTCTGAAAAGAAATACAATGATCAGTCACATGACATTAATACATCATCAAATCAAACTGAAATAAAAGGAGGTGGTGACCTGATGGCAAGTACTGAAGCAGAATTACAGACTAACCTGTCAACCAATGACAACACTGAAGAGAAGTTAAAGAGTAATGTGTCCATCAATCAGAATGCTGATGCAGAATCACAGAGTAAAATTTTGTCTACCAATCAGAACACTGAAGTAGTGCTACAGGATATTAAAAGATATGACCTGCCAGAAAAATGGGATGATTACCCACTGGATGAAAAGTATGCACACCCTGCAGTTACATTGGCAATGCTAACAAAAGAGCAAGCAAAAATTCTTGATGCACTGGCAGGGATACCAGATAACATGAAGGTAGGTCTGATGTAATAAAATATTCATAAACATAAACATATTAAAGCTTCTTCTCATTAATATAAGCTTCATAATCCTTATTGCAGGGGTTTAAATTTGGAAGACGTTACTTCCAGGAGATCTGGTTAAATGAGCTTTCTTAAAATATCAAATTTTATTTTGCTGCGCTTGGTGATACCATCGGCACTGACTTCTGTGAGACAATAATTAAAAGTAGTAAAAACATGCAGAATATAGGTCTCATCTTTTGCACCAGACATTTGTCATTTCGGACCAAAGAAAAGTGGTCTTTAATTAGAGGGAGACCTGTATTATAAATTTCCAGATGATGTTATTTTCCGGGAGATTCTTGCTTGCTTGCAGAAGGTCGTCCCAAAATTTTTGGTACTTCTGCTAGTTGTGGGAAACTTAGGACCCATTTACGATTTTTTCTTTATTACCTGTTATCATCTCTACCTCTGGTTTTACTTTCAGGAACATAGTTTCCCCTGTCCAATGGAGGCTGCAATGTTGCTGGTTTATTTTTCTCATTACTTGAGTCTTAAATACAGAGCAAATTCTGAAGTACAAAGACTGTGTCAAAAGGCCATTCAACAAGGAGAGCAGTTTGCTGTCACAAAAATGCAGAAGAAATACTTTGAGAAATACAGTAGATTTATTTTTTAACCAGAAAATCTTTATTTTTGATAACTAAAGAGAACTAAGAGCTTTTAATGATTTTAATGATAGAGGTTATGATTTGATTTGTATACTGTCTTCAGTGGTATATTCAATTCAATTTCGTTGCAGTTATGTTTTGCCATTGCTTGCATATCTTAGCCATTCCTTTTTTCCCCATCATTTGTTATGCCATCCGTCTGTCCTTAGCTCTTGATATATTTGGTGCCAATTATTATGTGAAGTCCCACCACAAGTAGGTTACATGGTTGGAAAAATCAAAGATTGAGATAACATATTTTAACTTTACATTATAAGCTTTAATTTGGTCGTTCTAAGGATAAGTAGATCCAGAAATGCAAGCATTGTAAGTTAAGATGTATGGAAATCTGGTCTTGAGAAAATCAGTCTCAATGTTACTAAATTGTACAACTATACGACTAGTAAGAAAATTAACTCAAATGGTAGCTATCATAAAATATAAGTACTAAAGTATTTAAAAGAAATTATGAGTTACCCTTAACAAAGCAAAAGGTGATGAAAATCAAAATAATACTGTAACAACAGTAATAAAAAAAATTTCAGTATTACAATTATTGAACAATAAAAAAAATATTAAACATTTGTTAATTTGTATTATTATATTATGCTTTGTTGAAAAAAAAAATTCACTTTTTTTTGGGTGTAGCATCATTAAAACTCACACTATAGATTTCAAAATAACATTTCACTATACATGTGTGCAGGATCATAAGATTAGAAAAAAATATCAAATTTTCTTGAAATAATGAAAAAATGAATATATACTTATTGGGTCATGCTAACAGTTGGAAAAACTTCCATCAACTAATATACTGTAGTTATTGGTGAATTCCAAGTTGACTCTGCTGTGCATACAAAGTCTGGGTGTTTATCACTATCATTTACTTATAAAAAGCATCTCTTCAGAGTTCTTGTCATGTTTGGTACAAGTTAATTTGTTGGACTTTTTGCACATCGATAAATGAATATAAAATGGTAAAATAAATTAAAAAGCAACCTGCACAACTGTACCAGATAAAGCACTTGTTGCTAACTTGAATGTTTGAATTTTAAATTAAGAATAGTTTTGTCTAAAAAATATGTAGTGGCATACACAGAAATGCACTGGCCAAACAGGTTTAACATTTTATTTTATACGGTATTATTGTAAGTAACGGCTGACTGCACCACCTGGTCTCTCACTGGATATATTCAACATACAATTAATTGTACAGACTTCTTGCCATCAACCAATGGTGGGCGGTGATGTCGAAGACGAAGTTGAAGATTAGAACTATATTTATACAGATGCACTGAAGTCTTATACAGTACATATAAATCACTACATTAGACTTATGAAATCATTTAATCTCTTGATTACGAATATCATTAGTTTTAGTCTTCCTGGAAATTGGGACGGCCTCCCGTACTGTACTCCCACATGCAGGTAAGAATCTCTAGCAAGTTCATAATATTTGCATGAAATTAAATGTGTTAAGCTCATTTAACGAGTTTGAATAGGGACCCCCCCCCCCCCTCGCGCATTTACATGTTTTATCAATATGGTAATACTGTACATTTCAATTCCTCACTAAATTTTTAAGGTTATAAAAAAAAAAAAAATTCTGAGAGTGCCATTTTTTTTTTGCCATATTTCAAATTATTATTATTATTATTATTATTTTGTTATTGTGAATAACGTCTTTCTTAGGCTCATTTCAAATGCAAATGGATTATACAATATAACAACTGGTAAAGATTCTATATTTAACAACATAATCGGAAGTATACATTTTGTATGAAACTGGAATATTCAATAATTACCGAACTATGCTTCACAGAGCATGCTATTATAAATATTGTAATACATTCCATTCTAGAGTTTGCATAACACAGTGTTTTTTTAGGCCCATGTCAATTGCAAATAGATTGTAAAATATATACAACTGGTAAAGATTCTATGATATTAACAACATAACCGGAAGTATACATTTTGTACAAACGAAACTGAATATTAATTGCTGGGTGATGCATCCATGAATAAAGACATTAAAAATGTTTTAATAGAGAAAAAGGACTTGGATGGTAAGAGTACCAGCTCAGCATGTCAGATGGATTAGGTACCATACTAATACTGATGAAGTCAACAGTTTTTCTGATTTAGTTTACTGTAACCATAAATTCTGGTGCAAGTCAATTCAGCTTATAGTTGATCAAATCAAACCAGTAACTGTTTCCTCATAGGTCAGGTATTACTTTCAATAATTTCGCGGGCAAATTGTTACTTGCAATACAAGGAATGCACTGTAGTCGCTCAAAATGCATCAACGAACTAAAAGAAAAAAACCAAAAAAACAAATTGGTTTGAATATTTTTCATTTTATTATAAAATGAATATACAGTACCAACATAAAAGTGTGATTATTAGATAATTATAGTATCAGGTATTATGAATACATTTACTGTAATGTGGACCTGACATAAAATTGCTTTTCTTGAGAATCATCCGGCCTTGGAATATGCACTACATAAAGTTTCAACTGCTATGTTATTGAGGTTAACATTTTACTTATTTAAGTTAATTCCATCTATTTTCTTTTATTCCGTTTTCTGTTGTCCAAATTTCAGTTTGATAAATCAGGGCCTCCTCTAGAATAGTTTCCTGACATTTCGGCTCCGCTGAAGTCAAACCCTGGATTCTAAAGGGGAGGCAATGATACCAATTAATAAATTCTCTGTTAAATTATAAATTATGGTGCAAATCTGGATTCAGAAATTGATACATTTCACTATATAATATTTTATATATACTATATTATACATTATTAATTAGCAAGTCACCAGAAATAATATACTCAACTCTACATTATCATTGCATAATTTTAGTGAACATATGAGGAATAAAGACCACCACAGCACTACAAGTGCAATAATAACCTAAATTTACAACTTTTTTTTTTACAAAGGAAGTTCAAGCCTCTTTTTAAAATTTGGTCCTTGCCTGTGGAAAGGAGAAAGTGGGTTCAATATACAGTACCATTCTTGTTTTTAAGAAACTATAACTAACTTTATTTTAGATGACATTTCCTTGTATTAATAGGCCAATAAAAACATATTTACCTAAAATAATCTGTTAAGGTTTGTGATGGATTCATGAACAAACATGCAAAGAAAAGGTGGACACAGGTTCCCCTTTTGAATAGTATATTGCACAATGGTGGCGCTATATCAAATACAGATACCATAGTGATTTATTACTGGATGGCATGTTATATTATAACTGACCTCATTTTGAAACCTCTCTAGAGTTAGCTTCTTTTCCATCTGGTCAAATTTCATTGGATCAGCAGCATACTGCTCTTTGAGTAATGACTGCCAACAGTTTTCTGCTGTTGGATTACCTTTGGTTAATGTTAATCTCAACAGTTTTCTGTCTTCTGTATAAAGAAACAACATAAAATAACATTACAGTATTAATTTGATCATTAATGAATAATGCATTACAATATTTATGCATTAGCACAAATTATTGCAAAAATGTATGACAGGGTGAATTCCCAATTTTAGAAAAACGCCTGCAACTCACAAGAAGACCTGGAAACCATTGAAGCCAAAAGACTGAAGCTGTAGGCCTACCACAGTCATTCTCTAGGATCTTCCCTTTAGAAATATGGTACTCTTGAGGCAATACACATTAGTAAACAATAATAATGATGGTCACATAGAACTATTTTCTTGATCAATATATCAGCCAAATATTGTTTTAGTAGCTGTACATTATAGTTGCCTTATCTGCAATATCTAATCCTTACACTGTGGCCAAGCGCTATTTAGGGGACACCTTTTTGGCTACAAAGTGAAACATATATCTTTACCCTGCGGCCAGGTGACACCCCTATTTTGGGACACTTTTTTGGTTCCCGAAAGGTGTCCCCTTATTAGGAGTCCTACTGTACATTTCAACATATAGATTATGGTATTCTTATGATAGCTTATCACTTACCAAGATCCCAAAGACACTCATCGGCATGCACTGTAGCAAATAGGTCTCCCTGAAAATTCATTTTAAAAGATTCATTGAAAGTGATGTTATGCTATTATGTACATTATTATAATACAGTTAAACTTGCCTAAGTCAACTAAGTCGAATAATTTCCAAGTCGTGGAAGTCGATCTAATTTTACATGCCAAATTATTGTGTTTTCCATTAATTAACAATCTGTAAGTCAAATTTTATCGAGTCGAACAATATTTCAATGGCATTTTGGATTCGACTTAGGCAAGTTCAACTGTATTACAAATACTACATTATGATGTAATCAAATTTACTGTTAAAATATTTTTATTTGAAAAGATAACATGATAAACAACACTTGGTGGAATTACTGTATACTGAATTTTAAATAAATGATAATCCTATTTACATCAGTGGAATTATAGTTATCATTTACTTGATATTACAGTGGTCTTCTTTTTTTGTTTCAAAGTGAATTTCTTTCAGATGAATTTTAATTGGCCAAAAGTCTTTTAGCAAATTTGATTCTTTATATTTGTAGATAGCATTTTCGTGTTGTTATTCATTTTGGCAATTAAATGTTTCGTTTCCAGGATCCCAATGAAAATATTGCTTTCAGAGTTTTTAACTGTATTTGTTTTTTCTCTGTATTGTATTCATTGTTTTTGTATTTTACTCTGATTGCTAAATAAATTCAAATCAAATCAAGTATTCTAAAAAAAAACTTGATATTAATATATTGTAGAAGGGTAATGATATACAAAACAAATATCTTTGATTGTGAAACTAAAAAAAAGAAATTATCTGAGGCTTCTGTCTAATGAGAGCACAAACCTTAATAATATTGTTTCCTCTTACAACACATGTTAAATGATTTGGTTTAAAAATCACAGTAATCTCCTTGGGTTTGGTACCAGGCTCAACATTTATTTCAACCATCACCTCCTCTATAGTTTGGTACCACATTCCCCATTCTGTCTCGCATGGTACAATTCCACTCTTCTCATCAAAATGAGACATATTTTTCACATATATCTGGAATAGTTGACCTATATAGTTATCACTGTTGGTCTCAACTGACTGACTGAAAAAATAAATATAAAAAAAAATAAAAAAGATGAAATGAATTTTGATTAAATATATTTTTGATATTTGTTTACACATTTCAACCCCAAACAAAATTAATTTCATTTATTATGCCATGAAATTCTTGAAACATAGTGCTAACCACTTCATAGCCTGTTAACAATGCAAGCTGGTGTATCTGAGCATGGCTGGTCAAAAATGGTCAGCATGTAGTTTGAACTCCTGACCACAACTTCAAAACCCTGGAAGGAAACTGCTGCGTCAAACAACCTTCCCAGGTAACAATCGTGAAAAAAGAAACCAAATACTAAAAGAACAGTAGAGCACAAACTTCAACATTTAAGTAACCATTGCTACTTGGCAAACAGGTTATAGAATATTTTAATTATCAATATATTTTTTAAATTTTTGATCTGACTTTTAAGAATCGCCGTGGCTAGAGATACAGTACCGTATCGGAACTTCCGATTGCTAAAGGTACAGTAAATGATATTACGTCATGATTAGCCAATAGAAACGCCGATACATGCATGACGTCATTCAGTGCACTGCTGCTGCAAAAGTAGCGAGTGTGTGTTTACGATCTAAGATAAGAAATTTTGTTCGTTCGCGGGTGTTGTTGACAAGCGGTGATTAATATTCTGTAGCCCGAGGTCCTATAGCAATAAAAAGGATAGAAGTTTTGCTAGATTTTGCAACATCAAGCAACAGAGTAAACTAATTTAATAGTAGAAGCTCAGCCTTATCTACCCCTGCTACTGTGCATACTAATTCCCTGTAGTATATGCACTGTAGGCTATACTACAAATAAAGTTTACTTTCACTGATAATTACAATCGCCATGTTGCTTGGTTGGCTATTTCAATCAGCAATAATAACTAGTGCCTACTATTCTATAGGCTTTGCCCCTAGTAGTAGCACTACAGTATTAGGCCTAAGCCCAGCCTAGTAGTACGACTATAAAATAAGCATAGGCCCCTAGGCCTAGTAGACCATTCTCTATGGTAGACCATAAAATGCGCAAGAATAACAGAAAGGACTTTTAACCCAAACATTGTGATAAGCCCCAATCGAAGTACATGAAATGGGCCTACTATGACATAAATTTGATCGTAACTGTTCGCGCCACACGTTTCTCATGATCGCGATGTCGACTTTGCAAAAAAGCCAAAATCGAGTCGGTCATTTCTATTGGCTAATCATGATGTAATATCATTTACCGTACCTTTAGCAATCGGAAGTTCCGATACGGTACCGTATCTCTAGCCACGGCGTTTAAGAATACGCACCTTTAGAAGCCTGGAATAGGCACTGTCAGAATGCAAAAAATAAAGTTTAGGCCTAAAATAAATAAACAAAAACAAATTGTTTTTTAATAAATTTGTTGGAGATAAGTGAATTTCCGGGAGATTTTTGCTGTTTGCGGGAGACCATACCGATTTCCGGGAGACTTCGAGTTCCATGCATACAGAACGTACGTAGATTTGGCCAAATTGTGTGCCAGAATCTACTCGACTAGGTCTAGGAGACCTTCAAGTTCTCGCATGCAAAACAAAGATGAATTTTAGTTAGTGATGTCATTACGCTCTTCGTCCTACCATCGTCGTGCAATCGAAAGCTCCCTATTATACTATTAGCGCCTGGCTAGCCTAGGCCTACTACTACCGTAGTAACCGTAACAGAACTAGGCTAGGCCTAGTAGTCTAGCTTGAGTAGACCTAGCCTAGGCCCTAGGCTAGCTAGGGGGGGCCTAGGCCTAAGCTTTGTCAGAAATTTATGTAAAATAAACTGCATCTCACAAAATAATACTAACAAATAATAGGCTATTTGATGTTCATCAGAAAATAGTAACTTAATTGATTTTAAAATTAAATTACAGCAGCAAATGGTATTTCCCTACTACTAGGCCTATAGGCCTAGTCAATCGCCATCTGTGCCGCCAAAGAATTGGGTTACCAAAGAATTGCCACTTTCCCAGGTTCCTGTTCTGAAAAACATGGTTTTCGTAAATTAATGTCAAATGTCAATATACAAACATAGGCATGACTAGGTGTCGACCCAACGTTATTTATTATTTTTAAAAAGACTAAGTCCCTATTTATATATTTCCAATGATTAAATATTTTTCAAATTACATGATAAAATTAATATATTTGTTTTATGTGGTTGAAATATTTTAAAATAAAATGATAGTTTAGTACAGATAGTGAGATGGGTCATGGGTCAAATGCCCGGTCAACCGTGATCAACAGGAAGTAGTTCTCAAAATGATGATGACAAGAATCGCGAAGAGCTGAGAATCGCGATCGTTGATCACCGCGGCGGCACACGACACGACAGCAAGACACAGTCGGTGTCGGAAGAGGACGAAGGTTCTGTGGCACCAATCGCTCTCTTTGAATATCTCTTTGGGGATATCTAGTTTCTGTTTGTTGCTGTTGGTTGTCATCAGATAATGGAGTACATAACAACTCCGAAGGTAAGAAAGAAACCTTATACTTACTAAACTACTACTAGGCAGGCCTAACTAAGTGTAAGTTTAAGCCTAGGCTAGGGCTAGCCTAGGCCTCAGCCTAGCTAGGCTTGGCCTACTACTTATTACGCCTAGGGGCCTAGGCCTACTTCTACTAGAACTAGCTATTATTTTAACGTATAATAGGGCCTAGGCTAGGTACAAAACTCGGCCTAGCCTAGGGCCAGGCCTGGGGCCGGGCCGAGCCGTAATATACAGCTAAGTACAGTAAGTTAGGCCTAGCCTAGCCTACTAGCCTAGCTAGTGTAGAAGCTTAGGCTAGGCCTAGCCTACCTAGCTAGGCTAGGTAAAACTAAACTAGGCCAAGCTAGAGAGAGTTGTGGGTGTGTAAAATGTTAGGTGTTGAACTAGGCCTTTTCAAAATCGCATAAACGTGAGACTCTGGTTAAAGATTTATTAAGCAACTGTAGTATTTATCGCCTATCTACTGTGATAATACCGAGTGAAGCTTCTTACCTTATCCAATGGGATATCTTGCTTCGAGGCGATAATACTCCAATAATATATATAAACACAGCAGAATACCCACAGCGCAGGCAATTATACTCCTGTGTAGACTCGGACACCAGATAAACAATCCTGTGATAAGGTTAATGATGCGTCTTGCATTAAGTCCAGTGTACGAGTGACGACAATTCACCAAGGTCTCGGCGATCCCTCCTCTGCACACCTGAAGGCAGGATATGCAAATACACAGATGCCGGGGTTAGAGGTCGTTACCGTTGATCGGTCTCTCGAACAGACGGCGGCCGTCACTACACTCCTCCCTTATTTGAAAAGAGTTGACATCATCCCCAGTATCAATTCGGTGCTCGATCTCTGCGCAGGTGCCAATATCAAACTGATGTGCGGCGAAGGCATCCTGATACTGAACGAGTAATGCAGTGAGTGCTTGGAACTCTGAGTCTGAAAGAGAAGACTTAGAAACATTTAACATTCCAATCAGATGTTCAGGTACCCCAGGTGTAATCCCTTCCCCCCTGGCAACTTCCGATTGCTAAAGGTACAGTAAATGATATTACGTCATGATTAGCCAATAGAAACGCCGATACATGCATGACGTCATTCAGTGCACTGCTGCTGCAAAAGTAGCGAGTGTGTGTTTACGATCTAAGATAAGAAATTTTGTTCGTTCGCGGGTGTTGTTGACAAGCGGTGATTAATATTCTGTAGCCCGAGGTCCTATAGCAATAAAAAGGATAGAAGTTTTGCTAGATTTTGCGACATCAAGCAACAGAGTAAACTAATTTAATAGTAGAAGCTCAGCCTTATCTACCCCTGCTACTGTGCATACTAATTCCCAGATGTTCAGGTACCCCAGGTGTAATCCCTTCCCCCCTGGCAACTTCGTCATCATCTCCAGTGACTGAACTTTATTACGTCATGATTAGCCAATAGAAACGCCGATACATGCATGACGTCATTCAGTGCACTCGCTACT